GTCACCCAAATTGTTCCTATATCAGGCCAGTCAGAATTGGAGGGTCCACTATATTAGATTTTTAAAAATCAAAAATTACGCCTCAGGTTTCTGACTTTATAATTCCAAGTCTGTAAGTATCTGACTACAGGAAAATAGAAGAAGTGACCATTAATTAAGGTATTTTTCATTTCACTGATTTTTAGACTTGGATATCTGCATGCACAGGTAAATCTGGGAAAGAGAGAGGGGCCTACTGCAAAATGTTTATTAAGTGCCATTTGAAAAGTATCATTTGAAAAACTAAATTAATATAAAATCTACAAAATGAAAAGGCATGAAAGTGATTGAACAAGAATCATTATGTTCTTACACACAGGGAGGCATTTGTCTCATCCTTAACTACGGCTCCATACTCATTTGCTCACCCTCATGCAGCTCTCTTCATACCATTTTTGTGCATTTTAATGCCCAGTAAATATTTGTTAGTTTGCTTTGGGGAGAAAAGCATGGAGTTATGGAGAAATTAACTTCTATAAGATCAGGGAAGGTAAAAACACAGTATGAGCTGGAGAAATCACAGAATTCTTTATGAGAGAATGGAGACTTCAAGCTTATTGTTTAAGAAAAAGAAGCACAGGAGAGAGCAGAGATCTAGAGCAGACAGGCAGAGTTCAGATGTTCCCAGGCTTGGGTGTAAATGCTGAGCCCAAAGACATCGAGTGCTGGGCATGACAAAACATTTGTGGTTAGAAGCTAACTGAATTGACTGCTCCCCTTCTAAACTGAACAGCTTAGCTGTGCACTAGGACTTTGAATAACTGGTTTAATTTGAAATGTTTTTATAATTTTTATTTAGAACATTGCCAATAACCCTTATGCAAAAGTTTCCAGATATGTAGCATTACTTAGTGCTATAATGTGTTCCTTCTACTCCTCCCCAACATTTTCTTCTCCCTTCATATTTAAAGTCTGGATCAAAGGTCACTTCCTTGTGTGTACCTCTGTTCCTTACCTGTGAAAAGTTAATTGCTTCTTCAATGTCTACTCCAATGTCATTAACACCTTTGATAGCTAATTGCACCATCATCATCATCACATAACTACGCATACACTGCTCCTGAATCCCTTTCCTCCAGTGTAGTGTGAATAGGAGGAGCAGCATTTGTAACCTGTGACCTAGCCTAGGGTCTAGCACCTAGTATTCATTTGTATTTGATAAAGTAAAATGTTTTCTGTTGCTTTGGTCTCTGCCTTTGCTGGAGGGAAAATGAAAAAGTTATCACCAGGACTATCTTTATAGAAAATATATTGTAAAGAAAGAACATTGCATTTCAAGAAGAGAATCTTTTGCCCAAATTACTGTTTGTTTTGCATATTCATGTTGAGGGAAATCCTAATATTTTACTGTATTAAAAATGTCTTTTATAGTTTTCCTTTTGCACCCTATGACTATAATACTAGTGGTTATTATAGACCACCACCATCCAAGGGAGATTTCATGTAAGCCACAAATAGGAGCCACATATATAATTTTAAAATTTTAATAGCCACATTTAAAATGTGAAAAGCAACACATGAAATTAATTTTAATAATATATTAAACCCCGCATATTCATATATAATCATTTCTACACATACTCAATATGAAATGTATTAACATCATACTGTACAATTTTTTGCACCAACTTTAGCACGTGTTTTCTACTTCAGTATGTCTTGAGTTGAACATCACTGGCTGATCATCATCACACTGGACAGGCCAGTTCTAGTTAGCTAACATCAATGAGTCTTCTATGTGTAGTGTGAGCTTTACTTGCATTCATTCCATTACTTCTCACAATAGCTTTGCAGCTGGTACTACTGGGCTCATGTTACAGAGGAGCACACTGGGGCTTAGGTTATTTGTCTGAGGACCACTGTTAGGCACAGTGGACCTGGGATTGGGTCACAAGGCTTTAACTTCCAGCTAACACACAGAACTAGAATGAGAACAATGGGAACTGCAGTGTGACCAATTCTGAGACTTTTTATGAGAACAGTAGAACATTAGACACAGAGGTGCAGGCTAATAGCAGGTTGCAGGGTGTTGGTGAAGCTTGTTGGAAGAGACAATCATTTTGAAGCAAAATGTGGAGGAAAAGGACAGGATTAGTTTACCAGGTGAGACCCTGGTGCCCCTATCTCTCGGTGTCCATTTATTCCCTGGCAGTCTCTCCGTGTGACGATCATTCCACGCCACATACATAGAACAGAGTGACTTTTCTTCTTTCCATTTTAAACTTCCATCTGCTCCACGAAGTTTGGGTAAAAGTATATGCTGTGGTGACTGGGATGAATTAAGGCCAGAGTCTGAAACAACCCTGATGCCATGGCTTTGTTATAAAGGTCTGCAAAATATTATCCTGGTGTCATGGCTTATACAAATGTGCACAAATGGCAGTTTCCTCCTTTTGCTTTGCACAGAGTTAAAAATGAATAAAATATGTTTCCTATTGCACTTCTCCTGTGCTTGGGGACTAAGTGAACTCATTTTAAGTTTCTACGTCTTTATAAAAATGTTTTGTTTTTACTGAAACATGTTATTGATCAAGAGCATAATTTCACCATTGCGTGTGTGTTTTGGAAACAAGTATGTCTGTGAACAAGTGCATGGAGGAAGAGGGCATTGGCTCTGCTGCCCCATCCCAGGACCAGTGATCTTAGATGGCATTCTAACCTCAGCCTGACCAGCAACTCCATAGATCAGCTTAAGAGAAGGAGCCAGCTTGTGCCCTTACTAATCAGTGTACCTCTCTTACTGTCTCTCATTTCTGGTTTTGAAGAACTGGAAATACAATTAAACAACCTCAGAGATTTTTTTTTTTTGGTACCAGGGATCGAACTCGGGTCCTTGCACTTGCACAGCAAGCGGCGAAACCACTGAGCTAAATCCCTGGCCCCAGAGATTTCTGATACTAAGAATTGTACCCAAGAATTGTACCTTTTTAAAATTTTTGAGACCGGGTCTCACTAAATTGCAAAGTTGCCTGGTCTGGGCTTGACCTTGACCTTGTAGTCTTCCTGCCTCAGCCTCTCTCTCAGAGTGCTGGGATTGCAGCTGTGTCATTGTGCCTGGCTTTAACTTTTAGATTCATGCAATGTCAAACCTCAGACAAGCTGCACAACACACTTTTTTGACAATAACAATTTATATTTAAGAAATACTAGATCCTTTACAAACTGCTTTACAGATATTTCACTTGACTTTGAAGACATTGGAGGGAGATGTAATCTCCATTTTATGAATGAGAGCATCAGATTTCCCTCAATTACAGATTTCTAAGTGGCCAAGCCAGGATTAAATCAAGGTGAGTCTAATTCTACATGTCTCAGATGAGGAGCTTTTTCAATGATTTGCCAGATTAGTAGGAATAGATCTTTGTAGTCTCCAGACTTCTCAGTTGCCCCCACTCTTACCCACGCTTAAGTTTACTCCTTTGTCCTAAATGTCATACATTTATGGTGCTCCAGTAAATGAAAAAAAAAAATGAGTAAAAATGGTTCAATTTTGCATTAGTCATTTTTTGGCTTTTAAAATTAGTCCTGTTTATTCTCTCCTCTCTCTCTCCCTCCCTCCCTCCCTCCCTCCCTCACTCCCTCCCTCCCTTACCAACAACCCTCAAAACAAAGAGCTAAATCATTTTTTTACCTTGTACTTTTAAAACGAGGTAAAATTTATATAATATGAAATTAAGTAAACAAAACAGTAGGAATTAATATCTTCACGTTGTAGTTCAATTATTAAGTCTATCTAGTTCAAAAATACATCCACCAGGGGCCAGGTATTTAAGCTCAGTGGTGCCGCTGCCTGCCTCGAAAACTCAAGGACCTGAGTTCGATCCCCAGTACCAAAAAAAAAAAAAAAAAAAATCCACCATTCCAAAGACTCCGTAACCATGAAGGAGTTTCTCCGCCAGGGGGAGCCATTGCCCCCGGCACCTGGGAGCCACCAAACTGCATCAGTCTCTATGGATTTAACTGTTCATGTAAATGCGGTCAAAGGATATGGACCCTTTATATCTGGGTTCTTTCATTTAGCATATTGTTTTCAAAATACATTCACATTGCAAAATGCATTAGTATTAATTCATTTTCACCACAATAATAGCCTATTTTGTAAATTTACCACAATTTGCTTCCCTATTCATCCATTGATAGTCATTTGAGCTTTTCCCACCTCTTGGCTATTGTGAATAGTGCTGCTATTAAGAAATACTGGTGAGTGCCTGTCTCCAGTTTTGGGGATATATATACAAGAGGATAGAATTGCTTGACCATTTGAAAATTCTATTCTTAACTATTTGGGAAACCATCAAACTTTTGCACAGCGGCAGAACCATTTTACATTCCCAGCAGCAACATGAGTGTTCCAGTTTCTCTGCGTCCTTACTAACTTCTTGTGTTTTGGGTTTTTGCTTTGTTTGTTATACCCTTACTAGGATGTATCCAGTAGTATAGCGCTATGGTTTTAAACTGGATTGCCACATGACTGATTCTGTGCATCCTTTCATGTGCCTTGTGATCATTTATGCATCTTTGGAGCTGGGTCTACACAAATCCTTTGCCCATGTTTTATTGGTTATTTCTCTGTGTGTTATTCATATATTCTGGATACTAGATTTATCAGATCATGATTAGCAAATATTTTCTGACATTCTGTAGATTGTCTTTTCACTTTCTGCCTAATGTCCTTTGACACACAACAGTTTTTAATTTTGATGAATTAAAAATTGGTAACATTATCTATTTTATTGATAAATCTTTTTTCTTTTATTGCTTGCACTTTTGTTTTCATATCTAAGAATCCATTGGCAAACCCAAGATCATGGAGATATTATCCCTATATTTTCTTCTAAAGTGTTTATGGATTTAGCTCATACTTAGAGCCCTGATTTATTTTGAGCCAGTTTTTTTTTTTTACTATGTATGAGGCAGGAGTTCTGTTTACTTCCATTTACTCCTTTTTGTTTCCTTCCTAGGAACCCTTGAAGGCAAGGGACTGCATATTTTTAATATGACTTCTCTAACCAAGTCTGAAAACATTTTGTCTGCCACACTGTATTTCAATATTGGAGAGCTAGTGAACATCAGCCTGAGTTGTCCAGTGTCCCAAGGATGCGCTCATCATGTGCAGGGGAAGCACATTCAGCTTGATCTTTCTGCATGGATCCTCAATTCCACCCCAAACCAAAGTCAACTGCTAGGTCATCTGTCAGTAGATGTAGCCAGACCTCATGGAGATGTGGCATCCTGGCTATCTAAAGACATCACTCAGCTTTTGAGGAAAGCCAAGGAAAATGATGACTTCCTCATAGGATTTAACATAACATCCAGAGCACACCAGTTGCCAAAGAGGATGTTACCTTTTCTGGAGCCTTATATCTTGGTGTACGCTAATGATGCTGCCATCTCTGAGCCGGAAAGTGTGGTGTCAAGCTTCCAGGCACACCGGAATTTCCCCACTGGAGCTGTGCCCAAACTGGACAGCCACATCAGAGCTGCCCTGTCCATCGAACGGAGGAAGAAGCGCTCTACAGGGGTCTTGTTGCCTCTGCAAAACAATGAGCTCCCTGGGGCAGAGTACCAGTACAAGGAGGATGGGGTATGGGAGGAGAGAAAGCCTTACAAGAGCCTGCAGACACAGCCCACTGAAAAGAGCAAGAACAAAAAGAAACAGAGGAAAGGACCTCACCAAAAGAGCCAGACTCTCCAATTTGATGAGCAGACCCTGAAGAAGGCAAGAAGAAAGCAGTGGATTGAACCTCGGAACTGTGCCAGGAGATACCTTAAAGTAGATTTTGCAGATATTGGTTGGAGTGAATGGATTATCTCCCCCAAGTCTTTTGATGCTTATTATTGCTCCGGAGCGTGCCAGTTCCCCATGCCAAAGGTAGCCATTGTTCTTTGCCCTGTACTTACTTCCTATCTCCATAGGACAGAAAGGCAGCCTAATATGAATGCATGTGTGTGTGTGCACGCGTGCACATGTGCACGTGCACATGTGTGCATGTGTGCATGCATGCACGCATTTTCATTTACAAAATCCACCTTGTCCCTTATGTGCTGTGTTCTAAAGTATAATAGGTAATATGGTTATATTTGATTTTCTTTCATGGTTGTTAAAGTATTATGAGGTCAGTGTTGGTATGAAGGATATGGAAGAAAAGTATACATAAAATACACATTTTGTGTTGCTTGCAAACATAGTGCATATTGAGTGATGTGGGCATGCGTAAATCTCCACCTGTCCTCAGAAAGCAAACAACAGGTGGGGTTTGAGGAGTGGATGCTGTGAGGCAGGGAAGGGCTAATCGGCTGATGCCCTGATAACAGAACATTTTTGATAAGTAGCTTCTTGTCCCCATAGAGCTCAGGATCAGAGTTTGGCTAGGTAAACTGACCTCATGAAATCCACCAGATGCTTTTTTCATTTGCTTCCCTGCTAAATATCAATAAAGAAAGCAAAATGGAATATATCATGACTCTCAACTTCTTCCAAGGCCCATTGTAGCCTGTCAGAAACTACCTGTCTGTTCCATAATCAGTGGGGACCGTCTTTTACATCAGTACCCTGTCTCCTGACAAATACATTTTCAGAAGTCTCTCCAGCCCCTGATTCCATGTTGCACAGCAAGTTCAAGTGACAGTTCTCTTTGAACTTAGGCTATAAGTAGTGTGCTCAATCTAGAGTAAAATGTAGGGGTGTCCTGCAGCCTCCAGTTCAGCTTATTGCTGTATTTCTCATCTCACTTGAAACAGTTGGACTCTCTGTCCTACAGTGAAAATTAACTGAAGGAACAGAATTCAGAGGAAGAGTAGATCTTTGCTTTGCAAAACTTGAGTTAATTTTGTTACTGTTTTATAATGGGGAAAAAAGATTGTTTGCTTTAGATAGTGACCATTTTCTGCTTATGGGGCTTTGTGGAAGCATTGTTGTGTGCTGGTCCTATCTGTGATCATTCAGTGGACTGCTCAAGGCTGGGTCAGCTTCCAAGCCACAAACTTCTTTGAAATCCCTTTTTCCTCACTAGGATGCCTCAGAAAGATGAGCGTTCTGCATTTTCTAAGACCTTATCTTTCCTGAGGATTTTTGATGATTTCATGCCTTGTAAACACAAAGTAATGTATGTACAGTCATATAAACAGCCTCCTCTCCTCTGAAGATTCATAAAGGACATTTCATTGATCAAACAAAATGTTTTCAAGAGGAATGAGTTTAAAAATACACACAAAAGAGATGACAAATGTAGCAAGTAGAGGGGCATCTTTATATTATAGTGTGTCTTGCCTGGTAGCATTGAGAACTAAGAATGAGACATTTAAAATCTATTTTTAAGTCCAGGATGACTGATTTTAGGTGGGCTTTGGGTTTTTCAGAAGTCTCTCATATTCTCATAAATTGTCATCTCTTCTGGGTAGCCTGAGGTAAAAGTTTTTCTCTTCCCTCCTGATTTCAACTTTTGGGCCCCAGAGAGCCAGCCATACTAATATGGAGACACTCAGTTGTTTTGCTTCTTATCTCCAAACTCAAAAGAACTAGCTCAATTTCCACCCTTCCACAATTTCTCTCAAGTTGTCCCTCTTCTCTTGGTTCTTGCCTGCTCTTACTTTTCACAAACCAGATGGTGAAGCTGTTGAAGAGCATCACCATGCTTCTCAGTGATATAAAGAATGACAATTTAAAATTTAGCCTGGTGCAGTGGCTCACACCTCTAATTCTAGTGCTGTGCAAGCTCTGAGGCAGAAGGACTGCAAGTTTGAGTCCTGCCTGGGCAATTTGGTGATTTAACAAAACCTTGTCTCAAAATTAAAAAAAAAAAAAAAAAAAGTTAAAAGGCCTGGTGATGTAACTCAGTGTGAAGGTTCTGGATCTAATCCCTAGCACTACAATCAATCAATTGAAGTAAACTGATAAGGGATAAATTAAGACTAGTAGAGTTAAATTTAAGGAAAGAAGTATGTTGTTACTGTAGAATAATTAAATAGACATGCTTCATCACAGCAGGGCTTTTTAAACCTTAATTTATCTGCTAACTGGGATCTTGTTGATATGTAGGTTCAGATCGAGCAGAAATGGGAGTAGAACCTAATGTTCTGCATATCTAACAAGTGATATTGGTGCTGCTGATTGACAAATTGTACCAGGAGTAGCAACACTGACAGTCAAATTCTTTTCCTTTAAATCTTGGTTCCACACTTACCAGCTGTGGTTCCTTGGATAAGTTACTCAAACTCTTGATATGTTAGTTTTGTCATTTTTGAGATGGGTAAAATAGTAAACAATAAAAATAAAAGTACCTACATAATAGAAGAGTGGGAAATTGAGGTAGTAGAGCACCTTGCATGTAGTAAGCACATATTCAATAAATATTCACTATTGATATTATTCGTGGCCATTGTGGAGACTGAAAAAAATAAAAACTTAAATGTAGAGGGCTGAAGAAAGACTATGTAGCATATGGGGGCAAAAAAGAAAGAAAGAAAAGTGGTAAGACCAGAAAAGTTTTGTAAATGTTTCTGTAAACATGGATTTTCCAGCATCACAAAGTTGAAAGTAGAATTTTCCCTGTGAGTGCAGCAGCCCATGAGCAGCTCCAGTGTGGTTCCTTTGGAAAGTAATAAGACTCAGGAGTGAATCCATTGCCACGACTAGATTCATCATAATATTTGTCCAAAATTGGAATGGCATCAGAGCTCCAGGGAGACATAACAGGAATAAGTGTGGAGCTTTCTCTTTGGGCTTGAGATTTCCTTTTTCCAAGCTGAGAGTGGAAGTTTGGCTGTTACAAAGACTTCTCAGCCTCTCATCACCTTGTATGGATCTGCTCCAATATTAAAGCTTTCTAGGGGTTCCCTTTAAGCCTTCCCGGCTTTGTGTCCCTCAAGCGGTCCAGTAACCAAAAGGATGGGAAACATGAAGAAAAGGAAAGGGCAATTACTGAGCATCTCTGCTTTCAGCACAGTCTCCAATATGGCAACCAGAGAGAACTGTTTAAATAAAATTATAGTCTGACCATCAGGAAAATGAATGTCTCTGACCAGAGCAGTAGTACACGTGGAATAACTGAAACACCAAAGAGCTTTCCGACTTTAGATATACATTTCACCCCGCAGGAAAGCTCTCCCAGGCCAGACTCTTCTGTTGGCCTCCTCTTTTTGGCCCCCTGAATGAAAGCCTGCTCTATATGGTGGGGCTGTTCGTCTGCAAAAGTAGACAACCTGCTCTGTAATTCAGAACAGCTGTGTTCTGCCTTTCCCAAATTCCAGGCTTTGCCCTTTCACTGATTCCAATTAGATACTTTCTGGGCCATCACACCCATGTGGGCTGGACTGGAAGAGTGTGGAGCAAAACCTCATGGCCAGGGTCAGGAATGAAGGCTTTCAGCTGATGACATCCTCTCCCCTGCTAATGCATTTGTAATCAAATTCAACAAGAGGACATCACACACAGCTTGGCAGGTGCAGGCCTGTCCACTGTAGATTTCATTCACAGACACGGCAGTTTGGATTTGTCTGATTTTTAGGCTTTATAGCCAATCTGTTCTCCCAGAGAGAGACTCTTGGAATTCTGCCACGAGATGAAAAAATACCCCTAAAGCTAAAGCCAAGTTCTATGCCTTTGCCTCCCTCACCACCTTAGCAGAGATGGAAAACAGAAATTTCAAATGAAAATGATTGAGCTATTGTTGCTGATAGAGATCCAAGAAACCAAGAAGGATTAGAGAAATAAAGTTATTTTTGCGAGGAATTGTGCATAAGCTAAGACTTGCAAAGACAATGGAATAAGGCAGCAAATAATTGAAATACTTTGAGCCAAGCATCCTATATAAAGAAATACACATTTAAGGAGTTCAAAATGGTACACCCTGAATGAATTTCCTGAATTTTCCAGTTCTAATCTTGCAACATTAAGATGAACACTAAAAGCACTACATCTCAATGTACTCAGTTACCTTAAGCAAAAAGTTACCTGAGTTCATGTTGAAGGCATGTTTCACTCTATGTATTAAGAGAGATTGGTGAGGGAAAGAGCACCGATTTGTGTTTGTGATAGTTATATTTCTTAAACTCAGTAAAGAGAGTCATGGGAAACGTGATCTGAATTCAGAAACAAATAAAAATCATGCACTGGCAATATGCTTCGCACCAGCAGATTACAGCTTGGATCATCTGTGCATGACATAATTATTCCTGGTAATTTCAGCTCGATCGGAGGATTGCACAGTGAGGAGAAAGGGGACCCTCCCTAGCAATCTGAGAGGCTCCTGATAAGAAATACCAGCCCCGAAGCCTTGGCTTGTTCCTGCGTTCTGCTGGGCCCACTACTCTTGCTGTTTCTGAGTCCATCATTTCTGAGTTGGAGCTAAGGACAGGAATTTTCCTAGGAAACACCCATGAATATTTTCCATATCTACGCCAGGTCGTTTGTGCAGACATTTTATTCCTGTTGATGCAAATTATTTCCACAGAAATAGGTAAAAGGGAGGACACACTGCTTCTTGGAAGTATTTCATCCCTCTCCCAATGTTTCTCCAGAGTCTGCACTGTTCTAGGCACTGAGGAACAGCAAAGTACAGCTGTGTTTATTGCTGAGGTGTTTATTGCTGTTTATTGCACATATCTACATATCTGCATCTACTTTGCACAAAATTTAAATATTAGGAGCCAGTAAACATTAACAATAACAAAATAACGCCAGAAAATGCTGGTTTAAAAAACTTTTTTAGGGGGGTTTGACAAGCTCTTTGGACAGTTGAGAGTTCAGAATAACTTTTTAATCAATAGAAAACAATGGATGGCTGCAAAGACGTTTTGGGCTTTTGTTTTTTGAGAAATTACCAATACTGGTGAAATAACAAGCAATGGTTATTGATATCTACGGGGCAATGGAGATTGCAGTTTTTGTAAAATACACAAATATTGAGATACAAGACACACAGTATGCAAAGTAGAGCAGCCTAGATTAAAGCTAATTAATTGAAAGTTAACTATACATAATACATAAAATTTCTAGGAAGAAGTAAAATAAGTTGCCAATCATTAAGACTAAATTTTTTATTTGTGTCTATTTGCAATAAAGTTGAAGCGTAATTTATAGATAATTTTTTTTCATTGAAATTGAAAGACAGGATAGCACAAGTCAGGTTTTCTCTTTCTCTCCCAAGAACTTTTTTGTCTGTGTGTTTTCACAATATGCCAGCCTTTCCCTGTTTTCTTTCCTTTGGCTTGTATGTACTTATCCTTTTATCGTAGTTTCTGATGCTGGAGCTTTAGGAGTTTGAAATTAAAATCCCAATTCATTGAGGTGCTTCAAGGAATTTAGCTCAAAATCTGCAATTCTACAGCAAGAATTTTGGATTAAATCTTATCCTGATTTGATCTCTGGCAAGTTACAAATTTCTGTTTGAGGTATTTTGTTTGGGAGGGGGGCTTTTGTTTGTTTTGGTTTTTCCCATGCAGGATCAAGCCCAGGGCCTCATACATGGTAGGCAAGTGTTCTATGAGCTATACCTGTAGCCCTCAAATGCCTGTTTCTGAATGTGTTTTAAAACAAAAATACACTAGTTTCACTCAGCTAAGAGACATTGGAAAGAACTGATGTTGAAAAATGTGGCACCTCTTCTGGAGTTCTTCTGACCATATTGGTAATTCCTAATATTCTGGGTTTGTAAATCCTCCAGTGCTTTTGGGTACAGCAGAGAAGTATAGGGCATTCTAAATAAAACCATGTGTTTCATATGGATGTTAATGGTCCCATTTGGAATTTTCTCAGAGAAGAGATTTAACCCAGGCTTCTTTGGTGAAACTTCTGACATCCATGGCCCTTAGACTCCTGAGTTTATTCCCAGAGGACATAGTTTACCCTTAAAACACAGTACCAAGCTTGTCTAAACCTGTGGAGCAACAGTGACCCCTAGTGTTCAGTGGTGCGATCTTTTTAACGCCAATTCGTGTTTCTGAGTGTTGAATAATTAACATTAGTGGAATAGTCACTATTCTACTCATCCTTTTGACAACTGTTAAATAAATAAATATCCCTCGCCCTGATTAGTTTTATTTTAACGACAATCCATAAATACCACTATATGACAATAATATATCTCTTATAACAAATAGGGCACTTGTTAGGGTTCCTTATGATCATTATTAGGTCAGAACAAAGTATTTTATTGTTGCAATCCTGTCACTGAAAACATTCCTATTCCATGATTGGAGATTAAATTGTTTGTAATTAAATGATTTCAGCTGAGAGAACTGGGTTCAAATTCTCACTACCACTTACTACCTGTTTGCCTTCACACAGGTCCTTTAAGTTTTTTGAGTCTTTATAAGAAACAGTGGCTTTGCTGTAGAGTTAGAGGTATGATGCATAAAAGCCAGAGACATAGCATTTTGTGGAGGGTGCTATGGGAAGTTGGGCTGAAAGTGCAGTTGCTGTGATGCCAGAGTGTTGCTAAGTTGTCCGGAGAAATTCATGATATAAGCACTTTATGTGATAAGGAGTGGGGAGTACAAATACACTTCTACCTAATATGTGTGTTCTTCTCCTGTTTTTTTTTTCTAGTCTTTGAAGCCATCAAACCATGCAACCATCCAGAGCATAGTGAGAGCAGTGGGGGTCATTCCTGGGATTCCAGAGCCTTGCTGTGTGCCAGAGAAGATGTCCTCACTCAGCATCTTATTCTTCGATGAAAATAAGAATGTAGTGCTCAAAGTCTACCCTAACATGACAGTGGAGTCCTGTGCCTGCAGATAACCTGGCAAAGAATTTGTTTTGATGTTTAATTCAATCAGTTTATTTTTTACAGATCTTTTTTATTTTGCACTGCCAATGCATTGTGTTCCAAACGAAATTTTTAATAGTCAAAAGAGTATATGAGAATAGCCTGATGATTTCCAGGAGGCAGAACTGAACTGTATTTGTTTTTGAATGTAACTAAAGGCAAGATTTTAGTAAATATGGACACCTATCTCTCTTTTTTTAATCATACAAAAAATTAGCAAATTGTTTTTAGAACTCTTAGAGAACACACTGATTTATTTTTGTAATGGGTCTTAAAAATCTGTTGGAAAAACAGCAATAGCTTATTTATCTCTGCTGGTCTAGGGACGATGGGAAATAGTAATTTCATATTTTAAGTAGGATTATCGCTTTAGGTTCCAGAGCAACTTAGCAAGTGCTAAATAACCCAGTTGATTTTATGTTTAATTATCTTCAGTGTTCTGAGACTTGTTTACCCTTGGTTTGCTTCATAAGACATTGTGTAAGTTGAGTGAGTGTGTGTGTGTGTGTGTGTGTTTTCACGTCAGGTGCCTGTGCCCCCTGTAAGGTTTACATAATATGCTTCTATAACTAAGTATACATAGGTTTCTTTTTCTTTTAATTTCATGTTTTAGAAAGTACTATTCAATTACTGAAAACGATAAAAACATCCAAGAGCATACACGGAGTTACCACTGAACCCAACCATTTCACTAGAAATACAGTTGTTTTTGTTTCACTGTGTCCCAGAAAAGAGAATCACCAACTCAGTTTTTGAAAATCAAATGCAGTTCCTCTTCTGTACTTTCTTTCACAAATATTCGCATTTGTTCTCTAAATTGAATTCCAAAATCTTTCTTGAAGCCATTGTGTTTTTCCCCCATTTCCATTTGTCATAATTATCTCCTCTACATTTTTGCCCTTGAAAAGTGTTTCAAAAATCTTTCACTCACTGTATTTACTTGAGAAACAGAAGTGATTTCAGGCTATCAGTGGTTGCAAACGGTGGATCTGTAGTTAGTCCTCATTTTAGTTCAGTCTGACCTGGTAATTAGAAATAACTCAGCCTGTTCTGAGACTGCAGAATCAGAAGAAATGGGGCTTTATTCCCTCTCTGCATGTAGCTCTCTATGGTGGCTTAGTCATCTTTTAAAAATTTGCTAAGCATCTATTTTTTGAAAGGCACTGCATGAACTGTATGCTCTAAGTGTCCTGCCTGGTAAAATGAAGGGCTGACCACTTGAGCGGGTCAGCCCTTTAGGCACAGAAGTGTTGGGTTTCTATTATGAGCTGTTTAGTACACATCTTCCTTGAAGGGGTGAGAGTGTTAGGTGTAAAACCCTGCAAGTGTCTCTGTTCCTAAGCCAGATTCAGGAGTATCCATACTTTAATGTTAGTAAATGAGTGTGGCATTCTCTGTGGTCTAAGTGGTATTTTATTGGAAACCTATTTTAAAAAGATTGCCATGAAAAGAGGCTCTTTGCCATTTTTGAATTACACTCGCATTGGTGTGAGCGTGTGTTAGCTCTGAATGAGACCCACCAGGTCTCAAAAATGACTTAAATTCAGTTGCCTAAGTTACTTATTTTCCTCCAGTTCATTTTTGTTCTGTTAGCATAAAGTTAAAGATTCAAACTGAGATGAGGGGTGAAATTAATTTTTAGTACAGTTTCTCACAAATCTGAGAGCCAAATTTAAAAGGAAAAGGCCGGAGTATGGCTACCATATCCTAGTCATGCTGTCTTTCGAGAAAGAAAATTTCTTGTTCCTTGGTAGATCTGATTAAATTCTTAATTTAGTTTTTCCTAGAGATGTTTTGGCAGTTCTTAGTATCCTGTCTCAGCCTTTTGTATGGAAATAAATGTCTTTTACCATTCTTAATATGAACCAGTGACTACTTACTATAAATTAAATCCTGCAATGGAAAAAAAATCCTCTAATAAAAATTTCCAAGTACAAACTAATTGAGATTTATTTTTACTAGCACTTGATATGATGAATTTACTACACAAGGACAAAGCTTGTGCAATGGAAATACATCTTGCCAGTATTTTCTGGGTGATCTTCTAACCCTCATTTCAACCTCTACTGAATTGAGAAAATAGAGTTGTATAAATGGAAAAAGTTTTATTCCAAAGAATAAAGAAAGTAGTGAAGGTTGAAGCAAATGAACTGACAATTTAATTAATAAAAACTTACTTAAAATAGAAAATTAAATATATGCCTGTTTCTCAATTTATTAGGTACTAATTTTCATATAATTCCTACATATATATCTTTTTATATATTTCTTGATACTAAATTGGCATTGGTAAGACGAGATAGTACATGTATAAATGCCATTTTCTAAATCATACAAGTTCCCACTCCTACACTCCCCCAGCCATTCCCCAATGTGGGATTCACACACACACACACACACACACACACACACACATACACACACACAGACACACACATCACATCACTTAAGAAGGGAGTTCCTTTTTCAGTACCTGTTCTCTGCATCTCAAGGGACTGCTAATGTCAATACAGTATTTTAAGAATACTTTGTTATAACCAGTGTAAATAATCTACAATTTACAGGATTTGAGATGTAGAAATTAAACTGGAAGATTGAATTCCTCAGCTTTTGGATCTACAGTATTCCGGGTTGATTTTTATATTCACCTAGTTATATATTAACAGATGGTCACTTATTAAGATAAGATTTTGTATTTCATATTTATGTATGAAACTTATTGCCCATGTAATACTTTCATAGGCAATCATACATGAGTAATACTATCATCAGTTGGACTTACACAGTTTTTTATGTAATTACATTATTCATTCAGCTTAGGTTTGCTGCTTTCACTTTTCTCTGCTAAAAATTAACTAATGTTTGGACATTGATTTCTGGTTGATTGAAAATAGTTAGGCACATCTGATGCGTAAGATAAAATAAGCAATTATAAGAGATGCTGGATAAGTCTGACTATAGTTTTTCTTCACCTGAGAATAGTATTTTAATGTAGCTCATAATTGATAAAATGATTCCTTTTCTAAAATCTAAGACCTCCCTAGAACCTTTCACACTAGCTTCTGTAAATGTGTTAGTTGACAATTTAAAGCTTGTACAGTGAATGGCAATTATAAATATATATATTATATATGTATATGGAAAAACTTTAAAGATGCTTTAATTTATTTAATAACTGCTGCCTTCCTGTAATAATTTTCATTCTTAGAAAGTGAGAAAAAACTTTTTTTTACTATAGTTCCTAATGCAAAATGAAATTTGGTTTTGTATTAAAATCCATTGAAAGAGTGTATCACAGTGAAACTGTGACTAACATTTCACTACTGATGTATTAAGCTTTGCTGACTTTGTATCACTTTCCTCCAGTAATGAAGAGCTTTTCATTATACTGTATGGAAATAAAGATTGTTTAATTAAACATTTCTCTGTCCCTTTCCATTTATTGGAAAAGATCCTATTTCTGAAATGTTTTCAGCTGTGGTGAGTTTGAAGGGGTAATTGGCTTGAGCCCAGAGTGGAACTATGAAGGGACCATCATAACCTCTTACCAACCTAACATGATTAAAATACTGAAATTTATTCAGAAGGGGAAGCATGTCTTTCAAACTTGAAAAATGTAACTTGAATTATTTCTTATGCCCTTTTTTTTTTTTTGTCTTTTTAACCACAAACTCCGCACTTCATACTTGGAGATTGAAGGCTTTCAATTCTTTTTCCATGGATGTCTGACTCACTCATTTAACGATAACCATTTCATCATTCATTACTACCATGTCCTATCCATTATAAAATAGTAACATGGTCTAAATTAAATTAATCATTGAGATGTTGTTTAGACTGGAGATTTCTCTTTAAGGAAAAAAAATGACCTGAGGTTAAGAAAAAATAGTCTCTTTCAGTCTATCTCTATTAAACTGATATTTAATTTTAAAATTATAAGCATTTTGGAACTACAGGTCTTATTAGAGATCTTCTTGAGCAAGTTCTTTGCTCTCAATGCCTCATTCATTGCACATATAAAATGTCAAAATTTCTGTTTAATACAGTTATTTTAAGGTTTGATGACATAGTATATATAATTTAGCCAAGTGCCTAGAAACAAAGAGTTACTATCTAGGAGTAGTAGTATCTTACCAGTTTTCCCATATTCCAAGTCAGGAAATGAAGACAAGCTGTAGTACACTCTTGTTTGGAAGTCTGCATCTTCCTATGGAATCCATAGTTAACACATAACAAGGGAGGACGGAAGCTCAGTCCATGCTGGTAAACTGGGGAGGTAATTGAGCAGCAGGTTTGTGATGGGAGCAATACCCAGCTTTACCAGGCATGTGGAAAAGCTGTGAAATCAGTGGCAGTGAGAGGATAAACTGGACAAAAGTAGAACTGTGGGTCTTGGAGAATAAGGAGAGTAGCTGCCTTGTTTCCAGATGATGTTCCAATTTTTGTATCTGTCTCATAAACTGCACTTGCTGTCTTTGGATTGCATTAGCTTTTCTCAAGAACTAAACAAATTGCATACTCTTACTTGAGCTGACTGGAACCAATGCCTGTAACTTGCAACCAAAAGGAACTTGGCTGCACTATGAAGCATGCTCAGTGCCATAAGACCACCAATTGCAATGTGGGCATTAGATCCCTTTTGAACATAATGGGGACAGCATGGTCATTGAGGGGACAGACTTGAGTTTGAATCCTGGCTCTGCTAGTTACTACCAGAGTGGTGTGCCTTTAAGAAATATCATTGGGATTACAGTATGATCAGGGTGGCTAATTTTGTAACAAATGAATATTTTCAAAAGGGCTGTTGTTGCAATAAGTAGGTGCCTCCATTCTTTTTTTTTTTTTTTTTTTTTTCTGGTACTGGGGATCAAACTTGGGTCCTTGCACTTGCGCAGCAGGCGGCAGAAACCACTGAGCTAAATCCCCGGGCCCAAATGCCTCCATTCCTATGTCAGAGAATTGCCTTGAAATACTTTCTAGGATTGGTCTTGATAGCTCTCAGGAGGCATGGTGGAACTTAGCATTGAGAATAGGAACTTTGAGCACACATCCATATCATACTATAAATTATTTAATCTTACAAAAAATATTGATATTATGCAAAAGCTTGTTTAGTTAATGGAGATGTAATTGATTCTATAATTCATCAGTCTAAATTGTTGGCAGTCTCAGAACAAGAAGCTAGCTACCTATAACTAATCAATTAGTAAATAAACAGTAAAATGAAAACATACAACAGGAAACAGCACAATGCCAGAAAATTATATATTTAGATCCGCAATATACAAAAATAAAGAATTTTTGATTCTGTATCTCATGCACTTTTGTTCATAAAATAGATGTTATGATTTTTAAAATTTAATTTGAGTTATATTTGTTTTTCCAATTACATTTGGTTCAACTCCAGATTCTAGCCTGGGCAATGCCAAGTTCTGGGTTTGTGCAGTTTGCTAAATTTCTTGATCTCCTGAAAATCTTCATTTTCACTTAGGTGATCTTTAAAATTTCACCTTGCTCTAGTATCCCACATTCTTTGATTTAGACATCCATATTAAATCACAGCTCAGAAGTGTTTTTATCCTGATCATGTCTCATGGAAAACAACAGCAACAACAAAAGTCATAATGAGAGGCAAAATGTGCAGAACTTGAGATGGGACCTGGAGAATGGATCACCCTTCCTGGGGATCATACAGTCTACCTTGCTTGTATCATACAATAACGTTTAGGAGATTCTTCTACCATTCATGGCTATATTTTGCTTAAAGCTTTCATCCTCTAATTTTTAAAATTAGATTTTATTTATTAAGCAGAAAGACAGTATCATATGGGAGTTAGGAGCTCAGAATTGGAGCCCAAATCTTTACACTAGAATCCCAGTTCTGTCACTTACTGGCTCTATGACCTTGGCAAGTAATTACACATCTCTGTGTTTCCTGTCCTCGTGTGGAAAAGGAGAACAAAACACAGAACCTACCTTTCAGTGTTGCAAAGGTTACTTGAGATGTTGCACATGAAATTCATAATGTTAACACGAGGTAAATGTTCCATAAAATTAGTTTATTGACTCATTAACTATACTTCCTCCATTTCCATAAATGCATCTTCACTTGCCTGCATAGTGGTAGGCGTTATCTTCGTGTTACCTATCACTAAGTATAACTAACTCACCTAGATCAGAGCCATGCTGGTACCGTTTAGGCCAGAGTACAAGCAGTGGCAGACTTGCCTCAAGGGTTCTATTCTTTACCACTGTTCCTCAGATGCCTCTCACATAAGTCGTCAGACTTCTGACAAATCAGATTTCTGTTTAGTAGGATGAGAGCATTTTAAAGTCAGTTACTTCTAACCTCATCAGTAGTTCTTGTTTCCTCTTTCTGGGTGTCATAGGGCTTGTATTCTAAATTTTCTTCCACTCCAGCATAATCTAGCTGGATATCCAGAATTGAGATTTAGAATTCATTTTCAGATGAGATATTTCTCTTTTGTACCAGGAAGGCTCCTGAACCACATCCTATTTTTGTTTTTTGTTTTTTGGGGGGGCGGTACTGTGGATCGAACTTGGGTCCTTGCGCTTGCGGGACAGGTGGCGGCACCACTGAGCTAAATCCCTGGCCCCACCACATCCTATTTTTGAACTGCCCAGTGGGCACATCAGAAAGTGGCCTCATGCCTTGAGAGCAAAGGAGAAATCACCTGAACATAAGTACATATTGATTTCAATAAAGGCATTGCTTTTAAGTAAAAATCTTAAAGAATCTTGGACTATATTAAGATGTCCTGCATCTTTCTGAAGTAAAATATAAATCTGATAGAAGTCTCATTATCTTCTGACATAGTTACTAGACACAGATATTTGTCTACAAACTGGAATTAGGTAGGATATATAAAGAAAAAATAAAATACGTGGAAATTAGAATGGTTGAATCTACACATTTGCATTAATCAGTTTTCTGTTTCTGTAACAAAATATCAGAAATAATTGACTAATAAAGAGAAAAGAGTTATTTTGGTTCAAGTTGAAGATCTAGTGTCCCCACTGCTTTGGGACTCTGATGAGGCAGCACATCAGGGTGGGAGCGTGGGGTGGAGCAAACCATTCACCTCAGGAAGTGGTGACCCAAATCATTTCTCAAATCACTCTTCCTGCTAGGAAGCAGGGAGCAGGAAGCAGAAGCAACTAGGCCACACCCCCAGTAACCTGAGGACCTCCCACTGGGGCCCACTTCCTGCAGGTGGCAGTGCCAGTCTGCTAACCTCTCTGGAAAACTCCCTCAGTACTTGAAAAACCCGGGAGAGCTTGAACCTAACACTGCGCTAATACCACAGGCACTAGCCATGCCTGGCTACTTAACCTTGAATGAATTAAAATTGAATAGAATTGAATTTTCAGTTCCTCAGTCCAACTAACCACATTTCAAGTGCTCAATACCACATGTAACTAATGATTACCTTTAATGGATTGTGCAGATATAGAACATTTCCATCACCACGGAGAGTTTTGGACAGCATTGGTCTAAGGGATAAGCAGGAAGTAGCCTCGCTTTGACCTCAAGAAACATACTCTTTGCTCTGTGTCCCTCATCCGTAAAAGTGCACTATAAAGAAAGGGTGATCTTTGGGCAGCTTGTAACTTCTGAAAAATCATAAAAAGATTCAGTTCTCTCCAGGTGTACTAAAAATTGAAAAACTTATAAATTGAGAACCCATACTTTTTTGAGATTTTACATTAATGACTCTCTGATGCATAAGCTGCCTCAGGTCATTTCTCCTGGCAGTGGGTCCAGTTTTCACTTTACTGTGGTTTACAATACAGATGTTAATTACTGTTCAAACACAGCTGTGCGACTCATTCTGGCCCAACATGGCGAAGAGAGTTCCCAACACATCCTCCCTCTGATTCTAAACAACTTGTTTTAATGACATTACATCTGCCAGCAGCTATTCCTAATTCAGTCATTCAGGTCCATTTTTGCAGGAAACTGGCCTTTTACCCTTTATGATCATTTAGAATATGTGTAGGTACACAGACAGATAGACAGAGAGATATAGAGACAGATTCAGAGATAGATAAAGACAGATAAGTAAGCACTTTTAAACCATTTTACCATGTTTTTCATGAGCAGTTATTTCAATTCCTTTTCAACGATAACTTAGTCCAGCAATTCTTTATCAGCAAACAACTTGACAAACCAAAGACATTAGTCACAACTATGTAAAGTGTTGTAGGAGAAAAATGACAGCGCATACAGTAAAATGATTAAAATTACTGTAAAAATTGATATCTTATGAAAGGTAAAATGTTTCTCCAAATTTCTCATCAGTCTCCCTTTGAAATAGATATATGATTAATCAAAATAAGCAATATACATTTTAAAAAATTGGGTCAGAAAGGTAGTTATTTCCCAGGATAAGATAG